TAGAAAATGTTCACACTGCTATTTTCTATATTTCTGAAGTAAATGAGGATTGAGTTACAAACCAAAAAGGACAAAAAAGCACCAAAGGAGCATCAATTATCCACATAACCGAAGTCATTCAATAGCTTTGTGTGAGGAACAGGCTGACATTGGCACTGTAATTCACTAAAAATCTGCAGTTTGACAACAGAAATGGCAAATATCATTGGTTCCTGCATGACGAAGAAAAGTCATACAGGTTTAGAACAAAATAAAAGTGAGTTAATGATGACCGCTTTTCACTATGTGAAAAGATAAGGTAAATAATACACTGAAGAGTACATACACTGAGTTTAAAATCAAGAAAAATCAATAAATATAACTAAATGAATAAATATAAGCGAAATAGCAACATGAAAAACCTTGTTGTCAAAACACATTGAAAGTGTGCAGCATACTTTAGGACCGTTCAGACAGAACGCTTTTTTTCCATTCCACTGCTCTACTTTGCCATTGTTTTCAATATAAACACGACCTAGACTGACAAGTTTGCTATTGTGGAAAAGGTCTTCTCTCTTTGCTTAATAATCTCGGAAGTCAAAAATCAGACTTTATTGGTCCAGTCAACAAAACCAAAATGGCAGCTGATCATCTAACAATCTTAATGGCCTTAAAGAAGTAGTTCACTTTTAAAAAAAACTTTTGCTGATCATTTGCTCAACCCCATGTCATCCAAGATGTCCACGTCTTTCTTTCTTCAGTCGAAAAGAAATTAAGGTTTTTGATCAAAACATTCCATGATTTTCTCCATATAATGGACTTCAATGGGAACCGAACGGTTCAAGGTCCAAATGAGAGATTCAGTGCAGATTCAAAGGGCTTTAAACGACACCAGACAATGAATAAGGGTCTTCTCTAGCGAAACGATTGGCCATTTAAAAAAATAAATAAAAAAGTTTAAGTTTTATAAGCAAAAATGCTCAGCATGCTCTGTTGCACGATGAGCTTTCGTGACTCTCCTGTTCGAACTCGTTCATCAAATTGTACAAATCTTTTTTTGAGTCATGACTCCAAGATAAGACCCTTATTCATTTTCTGGTGTCGTTTAAAGCCCTTTGAAGCTGCACTGAAATGCTTATTTGGACCTTGAACCGTTTGGTTCCCATTGAAGTCCATTATATGGAGAAAATCCTGGAATGTTTTCATCAAATAGCTTAATTTCTTTTCGACTGAAGAAAGAAAGACGTGGACATCTTGGCTGACATGGGGGTGAGTAAATTATCAGCAAACGTTTTTTTAAAAGTGAACTACTCCTTTAAAAAGATTTTTTTCCGTTACTGTGGTGGTAGAAAACATCATCAAATGGGTATCCGTTCAAACGCCTTTGCCACATGTGTCATTATTCATGTAACTAGCTGTCACCAAGTGTGTGCTATTAAATCAGCAAGAGAAGAGAAGATATCATATGTGTGGTGGCTGATTCTGCACATCCCACAGAACTGTTGTTCTGCCATGACGGTAGCTGACCTGAATGAAAAACTCACTGTAAATATTTACAAGCCAAAGCTGTAGCAGATGGTAATACATTGCTCTGATTAATGAACTGTTGCCTGAATTTAGTTCTTAGATTTCCAAAAGCTTGCTCAGCGAGAAGCGTTCAAGATCACAGACATACAGTGTGTTTCAGCTCTAAATCTTTTAAGGCTCTTTCACAGCAGTCACACTGGATAGATTTCCTCAGTACAGCTTTTTTACAGAGGATATCAGGCAACACCATATTTTGTATGCCAGAAGCTTTTTAAACCTATTACAGATTAAGAAAAAATATTTATCTGCAAATAAATCAATCTGATACGTCAATGATAAAAGAACATTTAATTTACAGTAAAGTATATTAGAATTTCTCTCTCTCTCTCTCTCTCTCTCCTTCAGTGTGTCTTTGTCTTTGCGTCCTTGTAACTTCAGCGGCATTTAAAGCACTATAATGATCATTTAAACTGTAAAACTTCCCCCACAACCATCCTCAAACTGAAACTACAAGACCTTAGAGACAAGAGAACTCTGTCATCCTTGTTTGATATCTTTTTTCTCATATTCTGTATATGCAACACCTACGCACATTCAGTCTTTTTCATTTTTTTTTTTTACAAAGCAAAACGGCAAAGACATCTTGCATGCATACATCTCGCTTAGTAAAAACCGTCAGAAAATGTTCAAGCTATCTTTCACCCTAAGGGAAAAATATAGTGTATTTATTATATAAATGATTCAACTAAAATAAAGAAAAGTTCAGGACTAACCCTAACCCTAACCTAACCCTAGCCCTAACCCTAAATGTGGACCCGGGCCTGGCCCTCAGTCCGGAGTGGACCCTAGAGGAGATGGAGATTCTGGAGGATGGGATACATTGGGCACCGGACATGGCAAAGGAAATATTTAAGAATTGGCTGGACCAGCTGGAAATTTAAGTTTGTACACTGGATTTGATGAATAAATAGTTTATTTTGGTTCTGAATTTGTCTCAGGGTTTTCATTGTTGAGCTAGCATTGAGTGATGTACTGTAGTTGTTTTTTTCTTCTTACCAAATGTCTGTTTAAAAGACCATTGCTGTTTTTGTGAAACACTAGGGTCCCAGGTCGTCCAATTGAGAATGAGGAATGAGAGATGAGTTCAGTTTACTTTTTTTTTTTTTTTTTTTCAGGAACCTGCCACATAAACATAAAACTATGAAATAACCAGAGGGGGCATGTCATGATGAGGGGAGGAATTTGGGAAGATTGTCCCAGAATTAAGTCCTTTTCTGAGCCCCTTTCAGAACAAGAAGTTTGACCTTTTTGATAATTGGTTGTTGATTAAAAGAGTTGGGAGAACTGAGATTTCCCTTTAAAGGAATGTTTTTTTTTTGGAGATGGGAGGAGCAGTTGTCGGTTCTCAGTTTTCGATAAGTGATCCTTTTGATCTGAGTTCCTTTTAGAACAAAGAATGGGTCTGATTGAAATATCGTTGTTTTCTTAAAGTTTTGGTAGATAGGCTGTAGAATAGAGGGGAAGGACAGTTTTCGTTCCTTGTTTCGATAGAAATCGATAAAATCGTGTTGAGCACGAGCCGGGAATGCAACTTTCAGAAAGAATTTTTTCTCACCGCGGTAGAGGTAACCACATCAAAAAAGCATATATAAGAGCTGCGCCATCTGGTGGTATCTATTGTTGATGATTTTGTCCTGGGTAAGGATTAAATCTGTTTAATTTTTTTTCTACTCTCAAGGGAAGGGTTGGTGCATTGGCAACAATGTTAGGTTGCCATTTGGGAACTTCCCAGACAACACTCTCTAAGTCATCAGGTACTCACAAAGGGGCCTAAAGAAGCAGGTTATTCCTTGCAGACCTGTTCCGAGTAGCCTGGATACCTTGCGGTGTTAACGAAGGGCTGCTTGGAAGGGTGGTAAGTATCCAGCCCCCCTGGGTCTGGTCCTTTTGGTGAAAACTCCAATACAGGAGTCAACGCATCCAGCGGTTGTCCGGTAGTCGGATGATGTCTGTTTGGTTTTGCTTTGGCTCTGAGGGGGAAGTACTGGTAGAAGCTTGATGCTGGGAGCTGATAGTTCCTCATCCGCCAGTACTGTCACCTGCCCATTGTGAGTTGGATCCTCAAGGATCATAAGGCTCTTTTGGTTTGGAGGTAGCCTTCTAAGAGTTGAATTCGATTAAACCGACAGAATAATCAATTCCAATAAAAATCCCGTAAGCAGAACCCAACAACCTTAGACTACTGAGGATCTGGTCCATCCCGACTAGCGATCGAAACATCCGGTGAATCTGAGGTACACTACTGATGAGAGTGTCTTGAATATTTCCCTCATACATCGTCTGAGGGAGTAAGACTGTACTTCTATACGGATTAGCCATTTTAGTCCCTGAACCTATCCACAGTATCCCTGTAGCTTGTACACCAAGTAGTGTTTGGTTGTCGCTTGTAGATAAGCTAGGCTTGTGGACCAGCAGTTTGTACACCGAGCAGTACTTGTTTTGCATTCTAGGCCTATACCAGCTCTTTCCCTAAACCTACCCACAGTAGCCCTGTGGTTTGGACATAGTTAGGCCCGCACCAACTTTCTCACTAACCTTACCCACAGTAGTCCTGTAGTTCACTAGGCCAGTCTTTTTTTTTTGAAATTTTGGATTTGGTCTCACTTTGACAAGGAAAAAATGAGATCGGGGTGTTATCGACTCCTGTTCTGCCCACTGTGGACTGGTAGATTATAGACCTCGAGCTGGGGACTATTGTGTATTCTCCATTTTCAGTCCTTGGTTCTAGAAAGAACAGACTCCGAGTTAAGGAGCAATGGTATAGACTAACAAGCGTCGGCTCATGCATTTCTCAGACTCCCGCTCTCCTGGTCCAGTGCCAGGAGGGTGGGGGACTGTTGTAATTGCCCTTAAAAAAACTAACCCAGCCAGAGCCATACCAGGGTTCAATTCGTGAGGTTTGGATTTGTGGGCTGCGCCGTATCGGAGGGGTGTTGGTTGTGATCGAGGTTAGATCTACTCTAGGTACACGAATTGTGGTGTAGGGGCGAGACGCCAGGCTGGGATTACCTGACAGTGGTCTTCGGGCTGCTGGAAGGTTTGCCAGTCTGGGATTTGTGCAGGTAAACCTTGCATCTCGGGTTGAGTTGTATCTGCCTAGAGGTCTGTGGTTATAGGTTATAGGCTCTTGTTTAGGCTGAGAGGTTCCTTACCTTTTCAGTTGGTTGTGTGGGTGGGGTTTTTTTTTCTCTCAACTCAAAAGGGTTGGGTTGGGGGTGGTATTGAACAAATATGAGCCCAAGCAGGCTCTTAGGGAGGTAACCACCTAGACAGGGCGGGTGTCTCCTGGTTCACTTTTACTTAACTTTTGGGGGGTTTGTTGGTTAGGTTAAGAATGAATGGGTGTAGGGTGAGGATATATACTGATGGGATGTTTTTGTTTTACAGGCAGTGAGAGTAAGGCGAGGGGAGTGAGAAAAAAAACAAAAAACAAAATGAACAAAGATCAGGAGTTTAAAGAGCTTGTTCGAGTCCTGTATAAGTTTGTACGGGCCTTCCACCACGTGTGGGAAATAAAAGTGGCATCCGAAACCAAATGCCCCCCAGCCAGACTTCAAAAGCTGGCAGCCCAGATCTCGGGGGGGATCCAGCCAGCATTCCCAAATTTAACGGTAAAATGGCTGATCTTTGGAAATGCCAATAATTGGCTAAATACAGAGATGGACATCTTGACCCAACACTACCAGGACACTTTGGAGGCGGCCAGACTGGCAATGAATCACATGTCCAAGGATAGGTGGAGGGATGCATTTGTTATCGCCACTAAGTGGGCTCGGAGGAATATTAAGAAAATCCGGGAAGGAACGATTCGGGAAGCGTACGAGGCCATTACTAGAATTATAACCCAGGGGGAGAGGGCAGGGCCAAGTGAGGCCCCAGTGGAGCCAGATTTGCCCCAGGCCGCTGGACCATTCCCCTCTTCCTCTTCTTCTGCGTCTGGAGGGAAAGTCCGTGTGAAGGAGAGAGGAGCAGAGAGGGAGGTAGTTGTGCAGGAGGCTCCGCTGGTCCCTGAGGGGCGCCGGAAAGCGCCAGGCCAATCTGGCGTGATGCAGAAAGCCCTGGGAAATGCCGGACCTGGGCCTCAGTCCGGAGTGGACCCTGGAGATGGAGATTCTGGAGGAGGGGTCCAGGATGGAGGTAGGCCCTGTGGAAATGGGAGTAAAGGTTTGGGTTCAAAGAGGGATAGGGCAGTGGTATTTATGCCAGTCAGTGGCCCAGTGACAGCAAAACAGGCTCCGGAGGTCCCCCAGGCGGAGGATCAGGAGGCCGAGGGGGTAACCTGGAATCTGTGTAAGAGACATGAGAGCCAGGGGGATAAATAAAAGCTCTGGAGTCTTACCCCGGGGAAGTCGATCCTCATCCTGGGGGACTCCAATCTTAGTCGTCTCCCTTGTTAAGGGGACGGGGACATAGAAGTCCATTGTTTTCCAGGGGCCAGTTTGAATCATGCTTATCATTTGTTAAAAAATAAGACACCAGTTTTCCCAAAGGCCCAACACACGATCCTGTCTTTTGGTTTTAATGACAGGGCGCAGCTGAACAGCTGGTGAAGAAGGTCCGTGAGGCATCGACTTACATCTTCCCTTATGCAGTGGTATGTATGGCTATGCTCAATTGGACTGATAGCGTGCCAGACAGTTGTGTCCGGAACCTTAGGGCTCTGAACAATATAATTTAGAGAACTGAATTCAGTATTCCTCTTCTGCCTAGGGACCATTTTAGGGTGGTGGAGGATGGGATACAATGGGCACCGGACACGGCAAAGGAAATATTTAAGCATTGGCTGGACCAGCTGGAAATTTAAGTTTGTGCACTGGGTTTGATAAATAAATAGTTTATTTGTTTCTAAATTTGCCTCAGGGTTTTCATTGTTAAGCTAGCATTGAGTGATGTAGTTGTTTTTTTCTTCTTACCAAATGTCTGTTTAAAAGACCATTGCTGTTTTTGTGAAACACTAGGGTCCCAGGTCATCCAATTGAGAATAAGGAAGAAGAGATGAGTCCAGTTTACTTGCTTTTTTTTTCAGTAACCCGCTACATAAACATAAAACTATGAAACAACAAGAGGGGGCATGTCATGATGAGGGGAGGAATTTGGGAAGATTGTCCCAGAATTTAACTTTTCTGAGCCCCTTTCAGAACAAGAAGTTTGACCTTTTTGATAATTGGTTGTTGATTCAAAGAGTTGGGAGAACTGAGATTTCCCTTTAAATGAATGGGGTTTTTTTTGGAGATGGGAGGAGCAGTTGTTTTTTTCTTCTTACCAAATGTCTGTTTAAAAGACCATTGCTGTTTTTGTGAAACACTAGGGTCCCAGGTCATCCAATTGAGAATAAGGAAGAAGAGATGAGTCCAGTTTACTTGCTTTTTTTTTCAGTAACCCGCTACATAAACATAAAACTATGAAACAACAAGAGGGGGCATGTCATGATGAGGGGAGGAATTTGGGAAGATTGTCCCAGGATTTAACTTTTCTGAGCCCCTTTCAGAACAAGAAGTTTGACCTTTTTGATAATTGGTTGTTGATTCAAAGAGTTGGGAGAACTGAGATTTCCCTTTAAATGAATGGGGTTTTTTTTGGAGATGGGAGGAGCAGTTGTCGGTTCTCGGTTTTCGATAAGTGTTCCTTTTAATCTGAGTTCCTTTTAGAACAAAGAATGGGTCTGATTGAAATATCGTTGTTTTCTCAAGGGTAGTTAGGCTGTAGAATAGCGGGGAAGGACGGTTTTCGTTCCTTGTTTCGATAGAACCAGACGTCTGTTTGGCTTTGCCTTGGCTTCAAGGGGGAAGTACTGGTAGAAGCTTGATGCTGGGAGCTGGTAGTTCCTCATCCGCCAGTACTGTCACCTGCCCATTGTGAGTTGGATCCTCAAGGGTCGTAAGCCTCTTTTGGTTTGGAGGTAGTCTGAATTCGATTAAACAGGCAGAATTATAAATTCTAATAAAAATCCTGTAAGCAGAGCCCAACAACCTTAGGTTATTGAGGATCTGGTCCACCCCGGGTGAACACGAGACACTCGTCCTGCCTACCCACAGTAGCCCTGTGGTTTGTACATAGTTCGGCCCGCACCTACTTTCACATTAACTCTACCCATAGTAGCCCCGTGGTTCACTAGCCCAGTCATTTTTATGGAATAACTAACTGGGCTGAGTTTCTCAAAAGCATAAGTCGATCCAAGAACAATTCCCACCAACTTTTGAGAAACGCAGCGCTAGGCAGTGGATAGTTCCCACTTCCCAGCATGCTTTGCAAAGGACTGAATTAGGAGAGTAAATATAAGGATACATTTTATTTTATGTGTTTATCAGTAAAGGGAAAGATGTTGGGAGCTTGTTTAATGTTTAGTTATGTTGGACATTTAGAGGAGTTTCTGTAATTGAATCTTCTGGTTACCATTGTGCTGAAGAGTAGCGCTTGTGCTTAGGCTGTGGGCACTCACTTGTGTCATATCAGGACTGACTTTTGTTTGGTAATTAAGCCTCAGTGAATTAATTAATAAATTAGGTTGGACCAACATAAAAATTGGCTGTGTTGAAGTTATGTTAAACATACTTGAGTAAATTAAATTGACCTAACTAAATTGAATTGACCCAACTAAACTGATCAATTTTGAATGGACTAAATAACATTGAGTGTAAAATGTCTTAATCATTTAAAACAAAAAAGATAATATAATAATAATAGTTTTTTTTTTCCTTGCTGGAGAAATCTGGTTATATCGTCCGACAGTTATGCTTCACCAAAACCTTGTTTTTTTCAGGTTAGTTGAATTTAGTTATCAGTAATCTTAAACAATTTATTTCATTGCAACAAAACCAGCTTTTTTAGATGTTACCACATTTTCCAGTACATTAGTTGAACAGACAAAAAACTCAATTCAGTGTACACCAGGCGAGCCAGTTCTCCTCTTCAAACAATGTCAACATAAAGAAAAAAACAACATAATTTGTCATGATAACAGTGAAATACATTTGCCAAGTACAAGAGCAATTATAAATCGTGGCAGTGTTTGTCTGAACTGAATTTAATTCATGCTAATTTAACGAAAAATGCTTGTATCAGCATAGGATGGCTTTAATTGTTGTACAGTTTTTTTTCCATATTAGTGGTCCTAAATCATTTATTTTCTTTTTCATTATGGGGTGAAATATGACCCCCCACATGAAATTCATCCATATACACACTCATATTCACATACTCTACTCATAATTGGACAAACAGAACAGAATTGCAATATTACATTTGAGATACTATTAATATACTCCAGTTTTGCAACCACATATTTTGTCAAACACACACAACAAACAGACCTTCCGCAAACGTAACAGGCAAATGAGGGTTGGATGAGATCAGTCAGCAGAATTTATGGATACTTCGCTCCCATGATCCTGAGAAAGGGAAAGAGAAAGAGGGATGCTAAACAGGCACACACTCGCAGTAAATTAGCTTTCATGCGCTTGAGAGCACCAAAGGCAGTTCCATTAGCTCAGAAGCACTTCTATCCCCAACAAACACATGCCACCCACTCTCCCACAACAACACGCTGGGTTGAATATTCAATTCACACAGGCTCACCTTAATTAAGCATTTCATTAGCACATAAGACGCTGAGTGATTCAATATGATACAGGGGTACACCTGTGTTCCTAATGCCTGTCAGATTTAGAAGGCTGCGTAATAACCAGCAACTGAGTATCATGTTTTGCATTAAACCTTATTAGTGATTGGTTTGATACTTGTTGTTCATATAATGCCACACTGGAAATATACAATTGTTTCCCAAAAAGAACAATTTTTCTGATCACTTTCACTGATGTAACCCATTGTAATGAGTGCTTGAATCTGTGCTTAATCTGTAATAAGATTTGTTTAGTAGAAAAGACAAAAATTACACAAAGTATTCTGTTGCGCTGAGAGTTTGTTAATACAAATAATTTAAAAAACACAAAGTGCGTTTAAACACAAGAGGCTCATTCAGACATTATTTCCAAGTCCTAAGAGCGCTTCCTGGCAAATATTCTGGATAATGTTCAGGTTCTCAATGATTTTGGACTTCCAGCCAAGAGTATGATTACATTGAACAGAAAAAATACAAGTCATCTCAGATCAGTATAAAATCGACTAATATTAGTAACCTCCTAACTAATAGGAGGACTGAGCTGAGCTTTCTCCAGAGCGGCTAAATATATAAATTAACTAAATTAACCTTTTTTTGTTTTTACTAAAAAAAAATATTGAACCAACACTGAACTTACTTAAGATTGACTATGATGGTATTTTGTTGCATTATTTCCCTGTTATCACTGTAAAGTGGTTTTGAAACTCTGTTGTAAAAAGCTCTATATAAATAAAGGTGACTTGACTTAACTTGACTCAGCCATGAGCATTATTTGGTCTGTTTCGAGGACATTTGAACTCATTTATTTGGTCTGTCCTGTCCTAGAGCATGCGTCTCTGAATGGGCACTACTGTAGTTTGACCCTGTGGATTTTTTTGGACTTCTCTCTCTCTTATAAAGCATGACCAATTTCTCTCAAATGCAATTTGCATACTTCTTAGTGAGTTGGGGATTTTTTTTTGAGGAATTCCTTTTGAAACCATAAAAAATCTTTACATTTCATTCTTATTTAATCCCAAAAAAGTGCAAATCCCATCCTGCAGCCGATTCAAACGATTGCATTGATCACAGTGCTGACACACAACACTGAAACAATCACTAACCCCTGACATTGGTAGCATATCATAGATAGCATTGCGGTTTGTGTAGCCATCAGATTTTGATATGAGCTATTTTGACAGGTGACTGTGTGACTGAGTTGAATGATAAATCCTCTTGATGGAAGTATAAATTATCCGGGTACTTTTTTCCTACTGATACAATGAATACTCTTTTTACATATTGTTTTTAGCCTTCTTTAAAGAAATATGTGATTTCTGATTCAGCCATAGTATTAAAAAAAACTGTAGACAGAAAGTAACTTATTACTTCTGCCGAGACTGCATTCCATGGACACTTTATTATCACATGAGGCAAGGAGAGGAGTCGTGAATGGCAGGTATGCCAGGTATAGGTCACATGACAAAGCCAACATGTAGTAGGCTGCCTTTTAGATGTTGTCTTGTTATTAGGCTACTTTTAAGGTGTGTTCACATTTGTACAGTAGTTAAGGTAATGGTTTGCTAGATTTGTTTGGTTCAGAAAAAGTGTTCACATTAGCGTTTTTTAACACTGAACCTACAGATACAGAATCTAAAGGCATAGGGATGCGTTCACAACCTGATTGGTCAGCTTTAATGATGTATATTTCATGACGGAGCTTACAGAAATCCAAAACAATACTGTGTTCAGGGCTAAATGCACTTGTGAGGAGATTATAAAATCTTGTGAAGAGATTATAAAATGTGTAAAGGATTCAAAACAGCGTCAGTAATCCCTCTGTTACATTCAAACAAAGATCTGCAGCGAGGAGATGCGGTTCTGTATACCTGTATACCAAACTGTGATGGGCAACATCGCAACTATGATGGCATGCTTGAGCATTTCGTGCTTTTTAGGGTCACATCATGTGACATCATGCCCTGTTTTTGGTTAGTTTACATTTGGTCCATCCTGTGCTTTTCTGTTCTTGTTTTTTGTTGTTTCCCTAAAAAAACCTCTGTTTAGATATCATTAATTGATGTTACAGTAGTCTGCATAAAACATACTTTTGTAACAGTTTAAGTTCAATTAAACGTAGAGGGCCTAAAAGTCCTACTCAGAGAGAGTATGCAAATTTGAGATCATTTATCTGGTCAAACTTTTATATCTTTTCTAGATTTCACCCAGAATTTTATTTATAGTTTTGTCACCCTTTTTGTAAAGACATTATTACGTCAACTGAACTATCCACAGCAGAAGTTAAACATCTGAATCATGTGTCCCTCTCAGCCTGTCAATTGAAAAAAAGGCAAATAATAATTATAGCCTACTGAAATCTATCTTTAAGAAGATGCATTAAAATAGTTTTTGCCTTTTAAATATCAATGTAAACATTTTCTCATCAAACTCTCAACATATAACTAGCCTACTGTACATCTCATTGGTTCCCACTAAATCAGTTCACGTCAACCAAACAATTTCACAGCAAAGTAGCCTATGCGGATAAACCAATTGTTGTTAAAATTACATATACGTGAAAGAAATGTCAAAATAGGTGTCAGTTAAATTATCGTCTGGATCCACATCATCAGACAGCACGTAACTCTACCTCAGGAAACATCTCCGTTTGCCCCGCGCTCTCCACGTCTGACGGTAACGGGGCGATTGTGTGTTTCATCCGGTAAAGCATCACAATCATTAAGGCCAAAAGAAACAGCAGCAAACACACAAAAAGTCCAAGATATGTGGATAAACTCGGCAGTCTGGGGTCCGGACGTCCTATGTGCGCCACGGTGGTGGTCCAAATGGGTTCCTCAGTTGACCCATTCTGAAAAAGTCGAGGCAAATCGTCAGGTGTGGGCGTGAAAAAGTTCCTCCAAATGATTCTCTCGTCTATCATGTTGAAAAAATAAAATAAAGTCTGTTTCAAGCTGAGCAAACGTAGCCTACTGAAAAAAATCAATTCGGAACTATTTCCAGTTACTGCATTCCCATGTTGGTGTAGCAAAAATGCAATTCAGCGTAACTTGCAGATTTCGATAGCATCATCTGAGTATCCAGGAAGAAAAGACAGATATGTGTGTGTGGTCACGCGTCGTGAGTGGAAGAAGCGTCTGTTTGTCGCGCGAGAGAGTGGCAGCGCCTATCTTCACACCAAACGCGATTTATAAGCTCAAAAATATGATCGCTTCCACGCAATTTCAGTTGGCTTCACCTTAACCATGACAAGTAAATCAACTGTCGTTTTTAAACCGCACCTTTCTCGTCTCACAAACGTTTAACAGTTGAAGACACGACACCGGTTAGTGAAAACGCCAGTAATGACCTTGTTGGTGATACCGCAGGCTTGTTATAGGCGATGCATCTTAAATAAAGACAGCCCATGTCTCTCATCTGTCAAATCGATTGAATCACACCAATACATACGCTATCAACGTCTTCAAGCTGTCCTTGACCCTCGGCTGTTTAGCGATCTATTAATAAAAAAGAGTGTGGTCATCATACTGTCTACATTTAAGTGAATCCCTCGAGAAAGCAATCGTCTCCTAAATGTCCATACTATGACATGTTTCATACACAGTACAAACTTTTAATTTTACATCTTTTAACAATGAATTCTTTGATCAAAGACAATAATATAATAATATAAACACACACAAATACGTTTCCGTGGTGATTTGATGGATGGATGGATGGATGCTGGAGAGATGTCCGCTAAGATTCGAAATTCCCTTCTGGGTTTCTTTTATGGCATTTCTTTCAAACTCATAACAAAGAGGATTTTATCGAATCCACTGTAGAAGAAAATATGCCCCCCCCCCCCACACACACACACACACACCTTCTAACAATAACTCTATCCCCAACTGCAATCATTTTCCATCAACTGTGAAAATGTCACATAGGCTATCTATTAAAAAAAAAAAAAATTACAAGAAAAAGAATGAAATGTCCTGTTCACCTTGTTCAGCTCAAGCAAACGTGCTGTGAAAAGCTATGCATGAATAGATTGTAGTGTAATATTCAATGTTGGTTTTGTTCCCCTAAAATAAACCATCTTTATAATATTTTTTAGGATACATGATGTTGTATATTGTAATGGTATTGTGAATGGATGATGAAAGGGGTATTTGAAAGAGTGATCTTTTCCAGCGGTTTTATTCCACAAAACACAATATTCCAAAAGAAGACACAAACAACCAAGAACTGAGACATTTTGTACTACTTTTAAACTACTATATATATATATATATATATATATATATATATACACACACTGATTATTAGGAACACCATACTAATACTGTGTTTGACCCCCTTTCACCTTCAGAACTGCCTTAATTCTACATGGCATTGATTCAACAAGGTGATGAAAGCATTCTTTAGAAATGTTGGCCCATATTGATAGGATAGCATCTTGCAGTTGATGGAGATTTGTGGGATGCACATCCAGGGCACGAAGCTCCCGTTCCACCACATCCCAAAGATGCTCTATTGGGTTGAGATCTGGTGACTGTGAGGGGCATTTTAATACAGTGAACTCATTGTCATGTTCAAGAAACCAATTTGAAATGATTCGAGCTTTGTGACCTGGTGCATTATCCTGCTGGAAGTAGCCATCAGAGGATGGGTACATCATAGGCTGTGGCATTTAAACGATGCCCAAATGGCACTAAGGGGCCTAAAGTGTGCCAAGAAAACATCTCCCACACCATTACACCACCACCACCAGCCTGCACAGTGGTAACAAGGCATGATGGATCCAAGTTCTCATTCATATGCCAAATTCTGACTCTATATCTGAATGTCTCAACAGAAATCGAGACTCTTCAGACCAGGCAACATTTTTCCAGGCTTCAACTGTCCAATTTTGGAGCTCTTGCAAATTGTAGCCTCTTTTTCCTATTTGTAGTGGAGATGAGAGGTACCCAGTGGGGTCTTCTGCTGTTGTAGCCCATCCGCCTCAAGGTTGTGTGTGTTGTGGCTTCACAAATGCTTTGCTGCATACCTCGTTTGTGGTTATTCCAGTCAAAGTCGCTCTTCTATCAGCTTGAATCAGTCGGCCCATTTTCTTCTGACCTCTAGCATCAACAAGGCATTTTCGCCCACAGGACTGCCGCATACTGGATGTTTTCCCTTTTCACACCATTCTTTGTAAACCCTAGAAATGGTTGCGCGTGAAAATCCCAGTAACTGAGCAGATTGTGAAATACTCTGGCACCAACAACCATGCCACATTCAAAATGTCTTAAATCACCTTTCTTTCCCATTCTGACATCCAGTTTGGAGTTCAGGAGATTGTCTTGACCAGGACCACACCCCTAAATGCATTGAAGCAACTGCGATGTGATTGGTTGATTAGATAATTGCATTAATGAGAAATTGAACAAGTGTTCCTAATAATCCTTTAGGTGAGTGTATATATGCATGTGTGTGTGTGTGTGTGTGTGTGTGTGTGTGTACTTGTCTACCTATCTAAGAGGGGACTTTGGTGTCGTTACACACTCACTAACAGGGGACCGCCGAGGGAAGTGGGGACATTTTTCAAGTCCCCTGTTAGCTATGCCTTAAAACATGTTAAAATCAACTAAAAAACGCTCTGGTGAATTTTTTTAACTTTTGACCAAGTGGGGACTAACACATGTGTGTGTGTTTAAGCCCATACTCAGCAGCGCTCCTGTAGGCTGGAGCAGGAACTGCAGTGGCCCATTAACACACGTCGTTCACACTTCTCTATTGTCTGAATGGCTGGCTGTCCCAAAGCCTCTGAGACTGTAGAGCTGCTTAGTTAAGGTACTTTCAGTAAATTTAATAACCCCACACTAGTAATCATTAGTTAAGCAATAGTAAATGCTTAACTAATGAAAATACAATTATTAAAACACATTATAGATATGCTTTTAAAACAATATTAAAGAATTTATAGCTTTATAGCTGTCTTTATAAATTGCTGATTATTGGTTTAAAAGCATATCTATAATGTGTTTTAATCATTTTAATTCCATGCTTTATTAATGAACAATTTATGATTTCTAAATGAAGTGTAGCATTATAAACCATAATAATAAACCAATATAAAGTTATTTAGGAGTTGTCAGTGGTTTATAAGATCACTTAGAAAGTGAGTAAATGATTAATAAACTATTTCAATGTGCATTCATGTATCTTATTATTCAGACATATAGTAATAGTTACTTAGTGTGTTAATACATTTTTAACATGTATTTCTACTGTAATCCAAGGTTAATTCAGGTAGTTATCAACCATTTAGTAGTGGTCAGTTTACTATTTTGTGAGCTCATCTAAAGTGAGGACCTGTTATGCCTTGTAATGCATTTATAAAAGAGATTTCAAAGGCTCAGTTAAATATTTGTATGTTCTTTTATGTTCAAAGTGTTGTGTTTGTTTCCTTTTTCTGTTTAGAAGAGAACTGAGCCTTTAAATCTAATTTATGAATGCTTTACAAGATATAACTATTCCTCACTTTAGATGAGCTGCCAAAAAAAGTTAACTGACCACTACTAAATGCTTAACTTCTTGCATTTACTACATTTAAATACACTTAAGTGATCTCATGAATCACTGACAACTCCTAAATAACTGGTTTGTAAATAATTTATTCTTCATTAGGAAATTATAAATTGATCATTAATAAAGTATGAAAATACAATGATTAAACACAATATTATGCTTCTAAATAAAGAATAAAGCATTTACACAAGAATAGAGCATTTATAGCTGTATTTATAAACTTCTTATTAATGTCTATTAATGCTTTATAAATTACAGATAAACTATTTACTAATGATTAACTAATGATTAATAGCATGCAGTTATTATGAAGTGCCCAGCGGCAACAGTTCGAAAGCAGAGGCGAGAAGACGCCTCTTATCATTCATAATATTATTTTTTTCTTATTGAACGCTCTCTCTTCATAGATACTGTCTATGCTTGGTTATAGCAGTCCCTAACAATTTACTTGCCATTGTTACTTTTCTTAATAATTTTGTCTGTACCTCAGTAGCAATTCCATACTAACAAATAATACAGAATATCATAACACTTTCGATGAAATTCCTATAAAACATCAGAAGCTTTATGTTGTGGACAATACAGGAAAGTTATTGCTTTAAAAAATTAATTCTCTGTTGTGGCTTTATACTTACAGTATATGATTGGTCCACGTATCCCATTTAAGCTTATTGCCTACTGATAAGTTGTATTTGACAAATATACAAATAGTTGTATTTGACTATATTTTACATTTTACAAGCAGTTTTGACTGATATGTGTGCACTGTAAAACAATTATTGTTGGTTTAACTTAAAAAATGTTTCCAGTTACCTGGTTGCCTTGAAACTTTACGTTCATTGAAATTGAAAAATTGACTTAATACAATGAAGGAGATTGATTTTATAATCAGAAACTCAAAATATTATGTTATCTGAACCACATACATTATCTAAGTTGATTTGACAGAAGAAACAACGTTATGATAACAAATCATGTTTTGTTTTTTTTTTTGTTTGTTTTTACAGTGTATATTACTTTAGTTTGAAAAAAATTACTTCAATTATCTTTTTAACAGTTAACTGGTTTCAATCTTATTTATGGAACAGAAAGTTTTTGTTCAGGATAGGTCATTTCTTCTGTTCTGTCGCTCACCTCCACAGGGATCGATCTCGGCGCCCTCCCTTTACTCGTTCTACATGCTACCATTGGGTTCTATATTTTAATAAGACATGGTGTTTCCTTCCATTCTTATGCTGAAGACACCACAATATATATACACCTATTGAGAGAAATGATCCGTCTGCTTCCATTTCTCTTTTATTATGCTAAGATGAGGTTACATCTTTGCTTGCAAAAAAATTGTGTCTTTAAATGAACACAAAACTGAGGTGATAGTTTTCCCCACTGATAATTTTAAGACCACCAGCATCGCTTTGAGGAGCTTCTCTGCATTCAGATCTATGCGGGATTAGGTGTGCTTTTAGATGGGCCTTCAAAACGTGATAAATATCTTCCGTAACTGCATCTAGTTTATCAACTGCATCTAGTTTTTATTTGAGAAGTTGCACAGATACTTGAACATTGGTAGCTGTATTTGTAAGCGCTCAGACCAGTTTACCTAAAACAAGCCATCCTGCATTGAAATGTAAATGAGTGTGGGGGTTTTGGAATCAGGGGCGTAGCAATCATTTCAAAAGTGAGGGGGACAGAATGTCAAGCATTTTACATGGTTCATGTTTACATGAAAGACTAAGACTTGTGTATGTGTTTAGTTACTTCTTAATTTTTCAGTTTTTTTTTTTTTAGATTCAGAATATGTTTCAGTGTGAAATACGGCAGAAATATCTTATTCATTTGTAATGATAATGTAACAAACTGCAGTTAACAGTAGATAGTCTAATTCTTGTATTTATTTATTTTTTAAATACATTTTTACAAAAGAAAACATTACAAAATGAATTTGGAAGGGTAAATCCCAGCATTTTCTCTAGTTTATTG